CACAGGGACAGTCGACAACACCTTTTACACAGATTAAATTTGAGTAAAATGCAAATTAAATCGCCAAAAGTAATGAGGAATCTGTGCTAATCAATCCAATTGGCCTCCTTTACCTGTATATCTACACCGTCTCTGTCGCAATCCTTGATTCTCTGCTCGGGCGCGTAGCAATTATCTTGAATCTCGCGGAAGAACTTGCCATCGAGCATCATGTTGGCGCAGCAGGGCTTGTGGTGCTCGAGGCTGACCCACCCTCCGTAGCCATACTTCTCCTTCAGGTCGGGCAACTCCTTGGGCAGGATGTGAGTGTGGAGGTCCACCTTGAAGTACTTCTTCGCCTTCACCGCCGCGGTCGTAGTCTCTTCGGCCATCCTTTTCTCCAACACGAAGCAAGGCGAGAAACAGAAAGAAAGCGGTCGGTTGCAGAGCTCTAGCTTGAGAGAGGCGAAGTATGGAAGACGCCGTACTGGTGCACTAGTGAGCGGAGGAGCCAATGTGTCTCCACACCGCCTCTTGGGCGATTGCGCGGGATACTCCCCAGACATTCCCTGCATTCCTCGCTTCTGCCAGCAACTTGCTCCTTCACCTTGGTCGGCTTGGGGTCGCAACACGGCGTCGTCATGTTGTGGCGAACAGCCACTCCTCCTCTGAGGAGGGCTGACTTTCAATCCAAAAAAATGTAAAAGAAGAAGAAGAAGAGGCCGCCTAGACTGCGATGTCTTCCAGCTGGCCGTTGAAAAAATGGACGAGGTCCTCGGCGGTGGGTCGCTTGCGCGGCTTGCGGCGCCAGCAGCGGGTCATCACCCGGGCGTACTCGGGCGGACAGTCGGCCGGCACCGCGGGCCGGTTGCCCAGGAGCACGTCCATCGCCACCGTCATCATGTTCTTGTCGGCAAAGGGCACCTTGCGCGTGAGCACTTCCCACATCACGATGCCAAAGCTGTGCAGAGCAAACGCACACGCACACACGCACACACGATTGTCAGAAGGAACTGTAGAGATCAAGTGGTTGGGGTTTTGTTCCAGACCTGTAGATGTCGGCCTTCTCGGTGTAGGGATCGCCGCTGATGATCTCCGGCGCGGTCCACGAGGGCGTACCGCACCGGGTCTGGGTGCCGAT